CTCACAATTGGTGTGCCTCCAGGCTTGGAGGGCTTGCCCTGTGTTGATTGGTCAACTGGTTGTTATGGCCCATAGGACCTCCCAGGGGGGTTGCTATGCTCTTACATCATTGTCGTGCGCTTGTCCGTAAAGCACACCCAGGGTCATAAAGCATAGCACCACCAGCTAACTTCTGATTGGTTCCTTGTCACAAGACAGGCATCTGACCTCTAAGTGACTAAGGTTCCTTGTCACAAGACAGGCATCTGACCTCTAAGTGACTAAGGTTCCTTGTCACAAGACAGGCATCTGACCTCTAAGTGACTAAGGTTCCTTGTCACAAGACAGGCATCTGACCTCTACGTGACCAAGGCAGGTTTATGGCAAGCACGTGTTCGGCTGTTATGGCTGCCAAAAAGAAGCCGGTTCCTTCAGTGACCAGTGTCTATATACAGAATGCCACCACTGATGTAAACATTACCAATATTACCCCACAGGTCATATCAACCTAACAATTAAAAAGGGAGTACTAAGCAGCTAGTAATTAAAAGAAAAGGGATTGTTTCTCACTAACTCACAGCTGCTGATTTTTAGAACTGTTGGTTGCTTTCTTGATGGCTTGAAATGGCTATGGACATGACTAAGTGAAACTCAAGGGATCTTTTGTCCCATGTTTCTTCTTGGCTCCCTCACCCTGAATTGGTCCCACTCCTTTCCTGCATCTTTGGGGACCAGAGATGGCCAGCCTGTGACCTCCAGTTACACCTGCTTCCTTGACCTGGGTGGTGTTCAGGTCACTCTTCATAGCAGCATTCAGTAACCCAGCCCCACCTTTGAGTTCCCAGAGCAACCCAGACTATCTCCCCAGGAAACCAGACCATGCTGGTTTCTTTGCTTCTTTTTCCAACGATGTAAGCCTCAGCATCTCAGCTTTATGTTTGAGAGAGAGAGAGAGATTGTGTGTGTGTGTGTGTGTGTGTGTGTGTGTGTGTGTGTGTGTGTGTGTGTGTGTGTGTGTGTTTTCCTGAGGGTTAAGTAAAAACCTACAGCCCCCTTGTGTTCTGGAAGATTCCCCACATGACTTAATGCCCCAGTAGTTTACTGATGATTATGGCCAGATCAAGCCTGCTAAACACCCATTCTTGGCTCTCGGCATGATTATCTGTGCAGCTTGTTCTAAATGATCAAACAAAATGTCTGTCAATCATATTAGTCAGCTTCCCGATTCTCCAGGGAGCCTTCAGCTTGGGCACACCCTGAGCCAGCATGTAGCCTTTAAGGACCCTCCCTGCAAACAAGCTGACCTTCAGTAAAACATTCTCTTATTGTCCCTCCCATTAGGTTACTCTCTCATCCTACCTCTCCACACCCATTTCTTATTTATTCCACTCTCTTAAAGAGGAAAGTCCTTCACCCTCCCTCCCTCCCTCCCCCCCCCCCCCCCCCCCCCCCTCCCTCCTCCCTCTGTGTGTGTGTGTGTGTGTGTGTGTGTATCATGTGTAATATGCATGTGTGTACGTATATTGAGACCAGCGGTCAATGTTGAGTGTCTTCCTTTACCACACTCTCGATCTTATTTTTGAAATAAAGTCTTTCACTGCATCAGAGCTCATCGTTTACACTATACTGGCTTCCCAGCAAGCTCCCAGGATCTGCCTATCTCCACCCCTTGTACTGGGGTTTCAGATGTGCACTGACCTCAGCTTTTACCTGGGTGCTGGAACTCAGCTCCTCATACACACACAGCAAGCAGTTTATACATTGAGCCCCCTTTCACATTCCTGCTCTGTTTTTTGTTTTGTTTTGTTTTTTGTATTTTGTTTTTGTTTTTTGAAGGTCTTTTGGTTTTGTAGTTTTTGAGACAGTCTACACTCTGTACCCAAGTTGGCAGGCTGTAATCCAGCCTGGCTTCAAACTCTTGTTTATGTTCCTGCCTCAAGTTAATGGATGCTGAGATTACAGGTACAACATGCCCAGCCAAGAATCCTGTTTGCTTTACTTTTAAATGCTTATAGACTCAGACGGCAAAGCTTCCACCATGCCGCAGGAGTACCTCCTTACCTTTGGTGACCTTTCTACTGTTTTGTGACCATCCTTTTGGATGGTCTGGAGTTTGTGTTGGACAGTTCCTTCAGGTATTGTCAAGGAGTCCTTGGAAGGACTACAGCTCACGTCTTGCAGAAAGCGGCTCTTTTGTGCCTGCTTCATACTAAGTTACAGCAATGAGATTTATTTTTTAAGATAAAAGGAATATGACTACATTTGCATACATTAAAAGTACCTATCGATGTAATTCAGCACATACCTTTAATCCTAGCACTTGGAAAGCAGAGGCAGGCTGATCTCAGTGAGCTCAAGGGCAGCCTGGTCTACAAAGTGAGTTCCAGGATTATTACACAGAGAAACCCTGTCTTGAAAAACCATTAAAAACAAAACAAAAACAAGGGGGCCTTCAGAACTGAAGATCCAAGACCTAGAGAAAATTGCTTCTCTACCTTGATTATACATGCTTACAGACACACACACACACACTCACACACACACACACACACACACACACACATACACACACATGTTAAGTGCAGAATTGACAGCAGTTTAGAAATGTATTGGTCTGACTTGGAGGAAATTCAGGAAGACCTGTCCATTCTGAGCCTTCTTGGTCCCTTTGGGAAGCAGTCCTTCCTCCTGGGTATAGGGCAGGACCCCTTGGGGACCCACTCTCAGACAAGATAGATTGGAGAATTCCTTTATTCAGCTTCTATGCAGGATGGTGGAGGAAGGTCCAAGTTGTCCTTCTATGTTTTGCTGCTGCCTTGGGGGAGATTGTTCTTCCAGTGCCGGTGGCCTGTATTAGAAGAAAGGAGAAGGGAAAGATGAGGGGGAAGCCTTTGAGGCCTTTTTTGGGGGCCCAAAGTTCCAGATACTCAGCAAGTCAAACCAAGGGCTTTGAGGTCTTGGTTTTTGTTTTTTTGAGTATTAATATTATTTAAAGACAGTAAAGTCAAAGTGGCTCCCAATAGACCTAGGTGATTCTACTTGTTGGTATTTGGGTTTGTGGGCTTCCATGGACTCGAGCATTTCAGTGTAATGTTTTGAATGCTTTGAAAGATAGTGGATTAAAGTACAAAAGGAAAACTAGCTGAATACCCAAAATGAAGTGATTCCTTTAGGGAAAGATGCAATCCTTAAGGATTGCAATTCCTTAAGGGAAAGAATCTTGAAAACATGTTGGAAAGATAAATCCTGGTGTGTGGGGGCGGGGCACATATCCTGTGTGCACTAGACAAAGAATAACTTATGTCTTGCTCTACCTCCTGATTCCTTTGGTACAGGGCCTCTCACTGTTGCTAGGCTGGAAGTCTGCAAGCCTGGTGGTCCTTCTTTCTCTGTCATCCACAGTGCCGGAGTTACAGGTGTTCAGTTACACTTGGCTTTTTATGTTAATGCTGGAATAAGAACCTAGGTACTTAGGCTTCTATAGCAATACTCTGTAGGAATAAAATTTTAGGCTATTACTTTATCTTCAACAATCAGTTTAATCAAGGCAATTCATTGGGAAAATAGATGTTTTCCTACTCTGTAAGAAAAAAATGTGTTTTGTTGATTTTACAAGTAGTTGAGGGCGGTGGCCGATAGTTTTAAAGAAAAGATTCTTTGACCTTCATTGGGTGTTTACATATTCATCTGTTAGTTCTTGGGGCAGGATGGGGTGTCAGGGTGGGTATGTATGCCTGTAGAAATCAGGGGACAACTTGTGAGCATTGGTCCCCTCCATCTACCACATGCATTCCAGGGATTCAACTAAAGTTGTCGGTTTGGCAGGAAGTCCCTTTACCTGTGAAGCCATTCCATGTTCCTCCCCCACAATTTACTGATTTCTGCTTAAAGTGTTGCCACTGAGCATTACAACAAAATGACTGCCACCTTGAACTGACAAGGAGGTTAGCAAGTGACAGTTCTGTGTGATGATAAGATATGTCACAACTTTAGGAATATTTGCCTTGAACTTGACCCTGCACTGTGATGGTTGGAGCATATGTCCTGGTAACTCACTTGCTTCATTACCTCTCTGAGAAGTGCTTCTCCCCACCCCTGTAGATGCAGATATTATAGAACCAGTTTGTTCATCATCACAAGCTCTATTGTCCCTTCTGTGTTAAATTGCTCAACTAATCCTCTCCCTCTGCCCCAACTGTGGGCTAGGCATGAACCCTAGCAGAACACAAAAGCCAAGAGTTGATTTCAGGGATGATATGCCTGTCTGAGCAGCACTTGGGGCACGCCCTATTTACAGAGTCCACAGGCATCTCACACTTGGGTTTGAAATTCCCAAGGTCCCCATTTCCCAGCATGACATAAGGATGGAATGTATATCGCAGAGGCTTGTCAACCTTCTCTCCCTGCAGACCCTGCAATGTCTCAGGCCTCAGTTCATGTTCACACAGTACCTGCCTCCTCTCCTGCATCGTCTCCTCATCTGGCTTCTCCTTGGACTGAAAGACTCAGCCCCAATGCCATTGCTTTTCTTCAGGAGAGGACTTCCTGTGTCTCTTCACAAATCGATGTATTATTTTACTCTTTCATTCACTTTGGTTTTAAAGCAAAAAAGAAATTGTGAAGCTATAAACCTCTCTTCAGTTGTTACATCTCCCTGATTGCCTTGCTTTTTCTTCCCAGGCTCCAGGGCAGCTCCTTGGCTCTTTTAGTTGTTTTTTTTTTTTTTTTTTTTTTTTTTTTTTTTTTTTTTTCTTGAAGTGAGCTAGCACCCTCTGTAGGCCAATCTTTACAAAACACCTCCAGATAATTCGGGGATGTTGTTTCTAATGCCAAGAGTTTATAGTCAATTAATCCCATTTATCAAAACTCTCTTGGAGAATCCACTTAATTACTGAGGGACATAAAAGCTGAGAATTAGCCATTTTGCTTCAGTTGCTGCTTCCTTCTTGAGACAGTGGACCATCAAGGGCAAAGAAGATTGAAGGAAGGAGTAACCGCTCTCGCTCCTACTCTGTCTCTGCTCACACCCATGTTAATGCTCATTCTCTTCACTCCTCCTGTGACAAATCTATTCATGCAGCAGCGCTTGTTTGTACTGGGGTCCCAGTCTTCACCATAAGCTCTACTACCGGAGAGATAGATCCTGTTTGAATGGTAATGAACAGGCAAGAACACTGACCTCTAGACAGAAAAAAAAAAAATACAAAAAAAAAAAATTAATGTTTGGTTGGAGACAGTTTCACATGAAAATTCCTAATATGCACGAGGCCAGATAGTTTCACAAAATAAATAAATAGATGAATAAATAAGATGAATAAGTACTCTGAAAATATGAAGCAGGTGATGTGGAGAGAGACAGCCATCAGAGTAGTCCTGGAGGGACTCTAGAGGGCGATGCTGAACAGAGATCTGGATGAAGGAAGAACAAAGTTATCAGCAACATGCAGTCCTGTGGCCACAAGGTGTCAGTCTCACCGCCCCAACTGCTAATCTCTGTGCTTACTTAGTTGCATCCCACATGTTGTATGTTGAGCTCCCCAAGGACTCTAAAGGAGGAGTAAGCTGTTGCAGCTGCCCACCCTAGCCTTCTGGAGATGGCAGGCTGGAAATCCGATGAACTGGAGGACGTGTGTGCTATTATGTGGTGGCAGGGTGTTGCATTGGTTATTGCTATTGTTGTTATTATATTATTATTATTATTATTATTATTATTATTATTATTATTATTATTATTATTATTATTATTATTATTATGTAGAAGAGTTCCTGCTGTCCACAACCAACAACAGAAGCAAGGAAATGGATTCTACTGTGTGAACAGACCTGGGGGTGAGGCTCAAACCTAGGACTTTGCACATGCTAAGAGATACTCTGTCACTGAACTACATCCTCCCTGGTCATGGTAGATCTAGGGATTCTGAGTTTATTCCCTGTATTATGAAATGAATTTGGTTATATATTTATATATAGGTACATACCTTTAAACTTATTTATTTCTTCTATTGCTTATTTAATCTTTTCTTTTATTCTGAGACAGCATTTTATTTTGTAGCTCAGTCTGGCCTGAAACTCTCTATGCAGTGTAGGCTGTTGTTTGAAATAAAGATGCAATCCTCCTACTTTAGCCTCCCAAGGAGCTGAAATGATAGGTATCAACCGTCATGTATATCTGTCATCTGTCTACCTGTCTGTCTGACTGTTCATGTATCTACCCATTGATCTGTATACCCATAATCTTTCTACCCATTCTCTCTCTCTCTCTCTCTCTCTCTCTCTCTCTCCATATATATATATACATATGTATATATGTATATATATATATTATCTAGTTTCCCTAATAGCCCAGGCTGGCCTCAATCATGATCATTTATCCCTAGCCTCCCAAGTGCTGGTATTACATATATGTACTACCATGCTTGGCTTGGTTAAATTTGGGATAAAAGGAACTGCTTTGACTATTAGGAAAGAACTCAGAATATTATTCCCTACAGTCTCATTCTGCTTGAACTGCTGGCTGAAAAATCATTTTATGCTCCTGGACAACAAATGGGGCTGGGCAGTGTGGAGAACACTGCAAACCAGGTTCCTCCAAGATACTGCTAGTCCTATAGCATTAGATGGCACCAGTGTTTCAAAGAGACATTGCTATCCATTGGAAGTTGAATGTCCCCCAAGAGTGTCTACATGTTTAAGAATTGATTCCCACAGTGACACTAATGGGAGGTGGGATCTGGTAGGAAATATCTAGGTCATCGTGAACTTGAAGAAGATTGTGGGACCCCAGATCCTTCCTGCCTTTCTGGCTTCCAGAGAGAAAGTTTGCTGTTCCACACATTCTCTACCCATACCATCCATCAAACCCAATGGATCCACCAGATTTTGTACCGGAACCTTAATATGAGCTTTATTAGTTAATTATCTCTTCTCAAGTTACTTATTATAGCAATGGAAAGCTGAGTAACTTTGGGGTCATTATTTGATCATAAGGGGTACAGAGAGAGCAAAAAGAGAAAACACTTGGCAGATCAGATGGTGTCTTTGAGAGCTTATTTACATGCTCAGACTTGCCCATTGATGTTATATGATAACATAATTGACTGTTGCCTGCAGTCTGAAAAGACAGAGTGATAGAGCAATGCTGGATATATCATAGATGACTAACAAATGGCAAACTAAAATGATGGAAAGCAATAGGGTTAAAAATAGTATCTGAGTCATCCTAGGCCATGCATCCCCATTTCTGAAGGGTGTTTTGAAGTTGTCCTTTAATGTTTGTCAAAGCAAGAGCACTATAGTGGGTTGAAATTGTGATTCTAGGGGCAGAACGCTACCCAGAGAGCATCTTTAAAGCATCGTCTATGCCTAGAAGGTGTTTTCGGTATTTTTCCATACTTCCCAACACATTTTTGATATTATTTTTATTTGAGGATTTCTTAAACTTCTGGTGACTATATTCCAAATGACCCCTGCCCTAATGTGAATCAGCATAACTGATTGCTGCTAATGATTAATAAATTCTATGTTGTGGAACAAACTATATTGTAGTACTTAACTATAGCACCTAAATTATCCATTATCCATCTATCTATCTATGTATCTTTCTTTTATCTACCCTTCTCTTTAATCCTTGACGTCACTGATCAGGCATGTTTTCTTGATTTGATCATTCTGCTTTTGTACAATCTTTTCCTGAGCATAGTTGATCTCTATTTGTATTTTTCCAGAAGCTGGACTGAACTTGAAACCCTGCTTGTTCAGAGTGTGAATTGTGGTTAGTATTCATAAGGAGACCATATTATTGCTGACTGTATGAAAAATATAGGTAGGATTGTCACCATGGCAAATTGGCATATCTTAAAATTGGTTATCCCTTATAGATTAAAGAAAATGGTTTTTTAGTATTTATTTGTTTACTGTTGTTGTTTATTGGTTCTGGGGATTGAATTTAGGGCTTTACCTGTGCTAGGCAAGCTGTCGATCACAGAGTCACAACCCTAACTATTCAATGGTAATGTAATAGCAGAGACTAAATTATGCCATTGAGTCATCTAAGATTGTCCTTACCTGTCATTTTTTAAATTTACAATTTGCCTAAAACTGGATTTCTAGATAAGACAAAATACTAGATACCCAGTTGAATTTGAATTTCAAAAGAAAATTATATGAGATATATTTATGCAAAACATTTAGTTGTTGTTGTTAACTGAATTAACTGTTATCCTGTTGGGTGTATGTTGTTCATGATTTCTAACCTAGCAACTCTACCTTAAAACTATTCGGTTATTGAAGTCAGTGAGGTGACTCAGTGGGTAAAGGCGCTTGCCACCAAGTCTGATGACCTGAGTTGGCCAACAAGTTGTCTTCTGACTTCTGCATACACCATGGCACACATGTGCCCTTTTCTCCACACACATAAAATAAACAAATGTCAAAACCTGGGAGGCAGAAGCAGGTTAATTGGTCTATCTAGTGAATTCCAGGTTACGTTAGTTAGGATTTCTATTGCTGTGAAAAGACACCATTTAATTGGGGCTAGCTTACAGTTTCAGAGGTTTAATCCATTACCATCATGGCAGGAAACATGGCAGCATGCAGGCAGACATGGTGCTGGAGAAGGAGCTGAGAGTTCTAAATCTTGATCTGTAGGCAGCAGAAGCAACTGTGTCAAGCTATTCTGAGTGTAGCTTGAGAAAAGGAGACCTCAAAGCCTGTCCCCATATAGTGACGTACTTTCTACAACAAGACCACACAAGCTCCAACAAAGCCACACATCCTAATAGTACCACGTCTTATGGGGGCCATATTCTTTCAAACCACCACATCCCACTCCCTGTCCCCCATAGGTTTATAGCCATATCATAATTCAAAAATGCATTCAGTCCATCTTCAAAAGTCCTTAAAGTCTGTAACAGTCTCAAACTTATTTAAAAGCCAAAAGTTCCAAGTCTCTTCTGAGATTCACGTAATCTCCTGTAAAATCAAAATCAAAAAGAAGATCACTTACTTCCAACATATAATGGCATAGGATTTACATTATAATTCCAAAACACAGGAAAGGGAGCATAGTGAGGAAATGCTGTACCAGAGCAAGACCAACAAACTCCAAACTCTACATCTTCATGCCTGATGTCAAAGCACTCTTCAGCTCTCCATCTGTTCAGTTTTGTTGACCGCAACACACTTCTCTCTCTTAGGCTGGTTCAACTCCCTCTTAGCAGCTCTCCTCCCCAACTAATCCATGACACTGGCCTCTCTAATGTCTTTGGTTCTCCAAGGTAATCCAGGCTTCAACTTCACAGCTTCACTCAATGGTCTCTTTACTAGGCCTCCTCCATTCAGGGACACACCTGACCCATGCCTGGCCTCAACTTCCACCTAATCTGAAACAGGGTCATTTGAGGCTATTCGTGGCAGGCTAGCTATCTCATCGAGCTCTGGGGATTTTCTTGCTTCTGCCTCCCATCTAGGATCACAGGCATTACAGACGCATGCTACGGCATCTAACTTTCATTGGGTGGGAATCCAAATGCATGTCTGCATGCTTGCCCAGCAAGCACTTCATCCTGTGCGACATTTTCTAGCCCGGCTTCTTTTTTATTAAATGTTATTCTTAGGATTCAGGTGCTCCTTCCTGAGTACGGCTCTGGATATTCACTCTTGTTTACCTTATTTTAAGAGGGTCAGGCCTTTTGTAAGAAA